CCCCCCCCCCCCCCCCCCCCCCCCCCCCGTCGACAACAATTTCGGAAAGTTTTTCGGGAAAATTTTTTTTGACAACTCGGGCACAAACCGAAAAAGTTGGGCAAATTTCTTTCAGCCCCCCTAATTTTTTCCTTCCCGTACGCCCATGTTGTCTTGTGATTTCTCGGGCGGAGCTAATTAGGGAAGACAATAGTGGAAAACCGCCTTGACTATATATATATATATATATATATATATATATATATATATATATATATATATATATATATATATATATATATATATATATATATATATATATATATATATATATATATATATATATATATATATATATATATATATATATATATATATATAATACATCATGTTGAGAAACTATGCATAAGAAAGTTAAAACAGTTAAGCAGTTAATAGCAATCCTTTAACTGCCATGTATAGTACAAGAAATTCGAATAACTCAATAAATTTATTGATACTTGCCATTGTTCAAACGTTAGTATGACAAGCTCTCACACAAAAAGAATTGTCAGAAAAATTTAGGTCAGAACATCATGAAATATCAAAGTACAGCCGGTCAAGAAATACAGCGCCATGTTAAAAGACATGCACTTGTCACTACGCAGTTGTTCATGGGATTAAAAGATTTACCTCTTTTTTTCCCCCTCTCGACTACCTTCCCCTTGCTTTTTTTCTTTGAATCGTGTAATACTTCTCACAAATAAGACCGGGGGGGGGGAAGCTGAAGAAAAAAATTTTGGACTTACCATTTTTCACTGACTGTCGCACTCAGGAGCACTCTTAAATAACCTTAAACTAGACTTGCATATAGTTTTAATAGATAAGTACGTATACTATATAATCTTAGCTGTGGAAACGTAAAAACTGTAGTGTGAAATATGATATTGTAATAGCCTCGTGTTTTTGGTCACAATCTTGCCATGTGTGATAAAAATAAGTAAAATTTTTATATAAATGGGAATCCAAATAATGCGTGAAAAGGTGCATAGGCTATGGAACCTAAAAGTTTAAATCTTGTGTAGAAAGTGTGTTTTGCGAGATCATAACGTGCGGTGTGACAAAATGCGGCCAGACATTTTTTTAGAGACTGAACAAGATTTCGTTGGTAGGGATGCAACTACCTGAAAAATATCAGGAGAATTTCGACGTTTCGAGTGAAGGCCCTTCGTCTGGAATGACCATGCCGCTGTAGTAAAGAAAAAAAACTTGTACGGATCGAGGCATGTAGAAATATACTAGAAATACATGCATGCAGAAACCCCTCGCCTTGCTAACAAAACCATTGTATTTGCCGAACATGAAGTATTTCGTCCTTCGTGGACTCGTCACCCGAAAATTAGTTTAACTAATTTTGGCGGCAATTTTGGGAGTGCTAAATTATTCATAGTTATAAGTATGCGGTCAGTATATGTGAATTACCGGTAGTCGGTACTAAACATTCAAAACTCAAAAGGTCTGTGTTGCTGTATGTGAACAGCGTCTGGCATGCAACCGGCAAATCATTCATTAATCCCAAAACACATTTTGTATTTTGTCAACTGAGGCCAGTGTGGACGCCTGAGCAGACATCTTGTTTGCTATGCAGTGCCGTTGACGTTATGAGAACCTTATAGTCATACATTTTCACATAGTCATATAACCAATGCAATCTAAAATATTTGACAGGTAGAAAACGACCAAGGCTTTACGATTTTATATATAAACTTCATCAAGATTAACAAAATTGAAAATATTTTTGACCGTGCATGGAAAATTATCTAACTTATATGGTAGACTAGCTTGGCGACTTGCCTTTCGTTTGTCTTTTGGGGTCTCGTACAACTTCTTACTTGTCAATCTCACACCTAGGAGGACAAAATTCAAGTCAGAACATTATATATTAAAAAGTACATCTCACACCTAGAACAAAATTCAAGACAGAATATTGTAAAATATCAAAATAATACCGGATAAAGGGCCATTCCATTTAATGTACACACCCCCCTGTGGACGAAGTCAATAAAATTTGAACCCCTAAGAAAAAAAGATCAAAGTGCCGACACAAACACCCCTTCAGAAATTAAGAAATTTTTGCCTTACCCCTCGGAAAAAACGCAAAGATCAAAGGATGCCGATGCACACAACCCCTCAGAAACGGCTTTTTCAACCCCCCTCGGAAATTTTCGTCCACAGGGGGGTGTGTATATTAAATGGAATGGCCCAAAACCGGTCAAGAAATACCGCCATCTTAATTAGACGCTATACACACTAGTCGTTGTATTAAAAAGTCAGCATTAATAAAACGTTTCCTTTGTCTTTAGTTTTGGATCTCGTACTACTTACTTCTCAACCTCACACCTATAGAACAAAATTCAAGAAAGAACATCGTAAAATAACAAAATAATACTGCATAAAACCAGTCAAGAAATGCCGCCACTTCGGTCATTCTGACTTCAGACATGCCCTACGGGTTGGTGTATTAGAAAGCATTAAAACTCAGTAGACTTGCCTTTCCTTTGTCTTGTTGGGTCTCGTACTACTTCTTACTTTCCAATCTCACACCTAGGACAAAATTCAAGTCAGAACATTGTAAAATATCAAAATGAAACTGGTTAATACCCTGGTGAAGAAATCCCGCCATTTTTAACTGACATGGACACTACGCAGTCTTTGTACATTAAAACATTTCCTTTGGCTTTTCTTTTCCTTCGTTTTGGCTTTCGTACACTACTTTTTAATTAACCTTACATCTTGCACTAAATTCAAATCAGAACCTTGTAAAGTTTCAAAATAAAACCGGACAAAATTGGTTAAGAGATGCAGCCGACATCATCGACATGCCGCCGTTTTTACAATACGACTAGTATATGTCGAATATGTACTGTTGGTGTACTACTGAAATGTGAACTAAATCTTGACTTACCGTTCCCTTACTTTAGGACAGACCAGGTACAGAGCTACGTCTATGCATAGTTAATAGAAATAATAAACATGGTTAGGAAGGCCGGCAAACTTCAAAGGCTTAGCGCTGCGATGTTGACGGGGTACTTCCGGTTGTAATCGGAGTGCACAGCTTGCAAAACAATGAGTGTCAGATGACATGTTGCCATTATGGGTTTTGGGTTACAGTATTTGACACTTAGTGAGGAAACATATAGTTTGAATTGGGCAAATCTTGAAAAAAATGGACTCCGGTAGCGAAGAAGAAAGTGTTTTAGACGTTGGGGAAGAACAGTTATTTGAAGAGGACTTAGAAGTTGACGAATTCGCAGAAACTTTGAAGCTAATCGAATCGAACGCCGAAGAAATTGACCAGCAATTGTTGGACGCGATCAGCGAGGTTGGTGGTAATATTGTTCAAATGCTACTATATTCCATTTTGCCACATGGTTATATCATGGTTTGTTTCTTGTATAAATATAGGTAGAAGGAGCGAAGCACTTTCAATGTCCAGACTGCCCAAAAGTTTGCAAGTCAAAGGGTGGTTTAACCAGGCATCGTCGAAGCAAACATCCTGATAAAGAAGAGCTAACAGTGGCTACTATAAACATTCCACCTATAAACATGGAGATTATAGCAAAAATCATTGCTGAAACTGTCGAGAAACTGCGAGAAGAAAACATTTATCCAAAGGAAATTCTCGACATTATATCCAAATTGAAGCCCAGTGAATCTTTCTCAAGTTCATAACCAAGGTTTTTCGTTTGTTCTGCAGAAAGCTCAACCAGGATAGGATGCTGGCATTGTTTTATGGCGAAATAATCAAAGATTGGAGGGTGTACTTTCCGCCTTGTGACAATCAAAAGGCTATAAATATTTTGCTAATTCACCTCCCGCAAAAGTTGGTTGTCTATCACAAACAACTTGCAAGCAACCAGCAACGTGATGATCAGGTAAGGTGTACTGTCAATGTTATTTATTAATATATGATGTTTG